GGGCTGGGGTTTAGGGTTTTGGGGTTTATGGGTGTAGGCTTAAGGTTTAGGGGCTTGTAGGGCTTGGGGTTTAGGGTTGTAATTTGTAATATAGGGGCGAAATAATTACCAATCCCATTTTGGAGGGTTCCTTATTATAAGTACAGTAGAATGGGCCTCAAAACCTTATTCTAACTATCAAGGCCCCTTCATTATAAACCCAAAGCCCTAAACCCTATAAACCCTTGAAGCCCCTAAGCCTTAAACCCTTAAGCCCTAAACCCTAAGCCTTAAACCTTCATTATAATACTGGAGGCCTCGCCCCATCGATGATGAAGATCAAGCTGATCAGGCCAGCGAAGATATCTTCGGAGAACCTGTGGAGGGGTTTAGGGTTTAGCGTTTAGGGAGTTTTGGGGCTTGAGGGTTTAGGGTTTAGGGAGTTCAGGGTTTAGGGTTGCCTTTGTTGTGAGCTGTCTGGAGCTGTGGGGAAAAAGAATCCTACACCCTAAACCCTATACCCTCGAAGGAATCCTACACCCTAAGCCCTAAACCCTATACCCTAGAAGGAATTCCCAGGCTTCATTTATGTCAGACACCAAAAAGGATCAACACATCACTTCAACCCTAAACCCCAAACCCTTGCCCTTAACCCCATCCCAGGAAAGGAACATGGTGACGTGCTTCATCAGCGCGCACAGGTCGAAGACTGCCACCAGGATGGTGAAGAGGGAGCACCACATGCAGACCTTTTGATACTTTACGGTTTAAACCCTAAACCCTAAACCCTAAACCCTAAGCCCTAAACCCTAAACCCTCAACCCTAAACCCTAAACCGAAGTTTAGGGTGTAGCGTTTAGGGAAGTTTAGGGTTTACATTTTCAGCTTCAAGACTTGCAATTTGGGGTCTGCAGCACACGTAGGAGTATGCAGGCGCGTGCCATCAAAAAAGGTGCAAGGCCACTCCCTAAACTATATAACCCCTAAACCCTGAACCCTAAACCCCAAAAACCCCTAAACCCTAAACCCCTATAACCCCTAAACCCCTGAACTCCTTCGGGCTCCCACTTGGCAGCCGCTAAGCGACCCAGAAGTAGAATACCATGAACTCCACGTCGACCGCGATGGCCAGATCATAGACAACCTCTGACATCGACCCTAAAGTTTAGGGTTTAGGGTTTAGGGAACCCTAAACCCAAACCCCTATAAACCCTAAACCCTATAAACCCTAAACCCTATGAACCCTAAACCTTATAACACCCTAAAAACCCTAAACCCTAAACCCTAAAATCGAGTCTGTGAGCTCCAATCTGTTTCGGATGGGTTTCCACAAAAACGAATTGTGCAGCCGGCCTCTTGCTCATGAACTGGGTGGCCCTAAACCCTAGCCCCCTAAATTGTAAATCTTGAATCCTAAACCATAATGAACCCTAAAAGAACCCCTAAACCCTAAACCCTAAACCCAACCCTAACAGGCCAAGCAACCAGGCTGTATGCCAGGAACGGGCCGGTCGCTCCGAGGATGGACAAGGGCTGCCCGGAGAAGGTCGAGAAGATGAGGCCGCTGATTGATGTGGACATGATCATCCTCGGTTTGGGTTTTGGGTTTTGGGTTTAGGGTTTATAGGGGTTTGAGGGTTTAGGGTTTAATG